TTAATCTTTATACGATATTTTAAGTTATGTCACCAACAGGCAGCCAACTGCGGCACAAAAAGAAGCATGCTCATCAAATTTTGGTTCTCAAAATTGTCAGACGCCAGCTCCATAATTCCAGATACTGACCTGAACAGTCATCTTCTGGTCAATGTGAGGACAGAGGCCAGTGCAGGCCTCTTGTTGAACGTTTTCTTCATCTTTCTTGTGATGTCTTTTTTCCACACAGACTCCCAACAGCATTGACTGGCTTTAGTATCCTCAGTTCTCCTTTCTCTAATGGGTACGTTTAAAAGATGGATCCAGTGAAAGGGGAGAGGAAATAACATTAAGGTAACTCTAAGCAGCTTTGCTTGAAAAGGTGCCTTTCAAGAAGTAAGCAGCATGTTTTCCTTTGCAGGAACAGTACATAAATATTCTGTCCCCAAGAAAACAGTGCAAATATAGAACTAAATGTTTCCTTTGCCACCAATGATGTCATAATCTCACAGATAACGATGATGTTTCCTCCAACAAAACCCTTTTGGGTCTAAAAAAGTCAAATCTGAGCTAGACTATTACAAACATCATTCTCCCCCTCACAGTCAGACTTGAACAGATGGTACACATTTGTGTTGTATCAACTTTCACAGACTATAATGAATTGAAATGTGGCCCTTGTTTAGTGGGATACAAAGTGTCATCCATGACTTAGTAACAGACTTGCTGTTTGCCGTGGAGGGTGTAAGTGTGTGAGCCTGGCATGCTGCGCTGGAAATTATTTCAGTGGCACATAAATTAGCACCACTTATGTACATCAGATGAGACTGTGTCTAACAGGATGTCACTGGTGCACAAACACCCCGTCAGCCTACAACCAAGCAAAATTACCTCCGCTGCACCAAGAGTGTTTTTGTCTCACCTCCCAGCCCCGAACCAAGCAACCAATTGTCAGCCCCGACAGGCAGAATTAAGACCTAACCCTTTCCTGACTTTTCTTCTTTTTAGGGAATGTACGCTGATGATGCCGACGAAAATAAGATTTATAATATCCAGCATTTGTGTGAGAGGAAAATCACTGTCAGACATGCAGATGTACATGTGTTGTGTTTTGTGTTTTATCACTGTTGTGAGGGCTGTGCTTGGGTTTAAACAGGCAGTGGACCATAGCTTGGAAACCTAAACAGTATATGCAGTGCAGTGAGCTCTGTCAGTGTTATGACAATAGTAAACTAACTTACAGTACACGCTTTATGTGTGTGTATGTGTGCATGAGCTTGTGTAAGCACACTGCTTGAAGGTAAATGTTTGATGGGGTATTGAAGCTTTGGATAAATGGAACAAAAACAGCCAGTGTTCTCCATCCGTCCCCTGTGATTTTAGCAGGCAAACACTGGAGTCTCTGTTTTGCCAATACACATATAAGAGCAGTAGATTATAGGCAGTAAACTGAAAGTATGTTTTAATATGTAATATGAACAGGTTTTATTTCTGCTCCCATGGGCAGGATTTGTATCACTAACGCACAACAATCTTTTCACTGAAACAGAATTTAATGCATTAGAAGGGACTGAATTTAAATGACAAATGCTGAGCATCCCCATCATAAGACACAACACGTTTCAGCTCATTGTTCAGCTTCATTGTTTTGGTTCGCTCTCACCACTGGCACTTTTGGACACAGCAGGCTGCTGTTTCTATGCAATGCTAATGCAAGGTGATTTTTGTACCAACAAACATTACTGCAGGCGTGTTTGTATATTTGGTAATGTACTGTAAATCTAAACTGTCAAAAGCTGTGGGATGCGATATGGTGTACTGCTGATTCACTAAAAAACAAACAAGCAAAGAACCAAAAACCCAATAAACAATCATGGCAATCCTACGCATGTGTAATGATGCTGTAAAACATGCCCCGGCAGCCATTATAGTGCACAGTGGGCCACATTACAGGCTGAGCAGTTCTATAATCACCAGCAACCTCTGGTTCTATGTGTAATCTATGGTTTGACATGCGCTGGAGCATCTTCACCCCCCATAGCCTCATGTCGTGACCTACCACCCCGGCTTTTGCGTTTTATGTAAATATAGTGTGTAATGACACACTGTCAGAGTACAGATGCTATTCTGGCCTTCCAACCAAGCAGAGGTCATCTCTGCCACCCCGCCCAAAGGAGTGGCCGCCCCACCACCGTGGTTAAAGGCCCTGCTTTCACCCAGACCAAAATGACAGACATGATTTTATCTTTACATTTTGCCCAGGGTTCGTGGTTGAGAGCACAAAGAATCCTATCTGAAACTTTACAAGAATTTAGGAGATAGATAGAATAATGTCTTTTTTTTTTTTTTTTTTTTTTTGTTGGGAAAACCTTTTGTTTTTTCTGTGACTGCTGATTGCAGATGCTGCAAACAGCCCATATTCTACAATACTGTAGGTGTCACACTGGGAAGGTGAGAGAGTGCACAAAATATTTCAGCATTCATTTCAAACAGGGACAGAGCATTTAGCTCAGAGACAAATATCCCTTCCAGTCCAGCTCTGAGTCTATCCAAGAAGGCATTTAGAAATGGCTCCTCATGAAAATTCAGGTGGTGATAGGCTCTGGTCACTGTCACCATTAAATACATCACATCAGTTCTTTCACAGCCATTCAAAATGGATTTATCTTTACAAGTCATATTTTAATATACATGCTCCCAACTGACATATTGGAAGCAGAAAACTGACAAGTTGAGCACAGTGCAGTGCACATCTTAATCATTATACTTCAAAAAATATTTGCAAATAACACAAAGAAATAGTCAAAAGTACAAACTGAGTAATGTTCTGGATTTTATCATAAGGCTTTCCAAATGGCTGTGCTACAGGAACCCAGTGGCGCTCTCTCTGGTGCTCAGGTTTGATTTTAAACAATTCTGTCTGGTGACTTTTGCTATATTCCTTTCCTTTCTGGCGTCCTGTCTGCGCCATGGGGGAAAAGGCCCTGTTAATTTATTAGTCACACTTTGAAGTCCGTCTTTCTCCTAAACTGTGCTGCTGGGTTGAATGTGAGACAAATTAAAATAGAAAACCTTGAGGTATGAGGCCATCTGGTTTAGCTGGTCTGCATTTTTTGTCGCCTCTGTCAACTTTACTTTAGCAGGCTGAATACTCTTTCCGCACAGACTTAAGCTGCAGGAGGAGTAAATGACCATAAGGCAGCAGGGAGGGCACACAATGACAGAGCTGACAAAACTACATCAACAACAGCTAGTTTGCTTGTTTGTGGATTGTAAATTGAACATTTAGGTTGAAAAAATGCCACATGAAGAAAATATTCAATACCACAAAGAATAAATAAGTCATTTTAGTTTTACATCTCAGTAAACAACACTTTTCACGTGTATGTTTCTTTTCTGAAGTTGGGCTGTGGTTGAGAAATAAAAAACATAAGATGGCTACAGGATAATGTGAGTTGAGGTGCTATGTTCTAACCTGCACATCAGCTCGAATAAATAAATCAAATAAAATGTAATTAAAATTCTCTAACAAATGCTTGTAATGTTAATTTATAAAATCTTATGATGAAATAAAGATTTAATTTTAGGCAGTTGACGCAAAAATCTACCTGGAAATATAAAGTTGTTTTAACAATGTGCTATCTTTAAAACTCCAAACTGAAAAATTGATTCCAAACTGATTCAGAACCGACATAAAATAAGATGCAATTACCGTTTGACACCAACTCAGCCCCATTAAATCTGTGCTAAAGCTACACTAAGCAATATGCTGACTAATCTTCAGTTCCCTTCAACACTAAGGAAGGTTTTAGCGTCTCTCAGCTCAGTGTTTTGATTTTGCAGCCTACAGCATTAATGTTTTTGGTCCACAAAAGCTGCAGCAGGCAGCTGATTTCAGTAAAAAAGCCACTGTGCACTACCTATGCAGCACTAAATGGCAGACAAATTTGACAGCTAAAGAATCCCAGGCAATGGCAGAGACCAAAACAGAACTTTGGTTAAAGCAAACAATGTCATGCGTTGAAAGGTTAAACTGCTCTGCACTTTTACTCCAAGCTTTCTTGACATACTTGTGTGCCCCACAAACACTAGCTGTTAGTGTAGCAGAGCAGTTAAAGACACCAGCGTTTCTCAGCAGTTTATGTATGGTAGGTGTTTATATGATTCAAGTTTTCTCAGAAACAAACGCAGCAGAAGGTTCAAACAATGACTGAAGGATTCCATGACTCTCAAAGTTGAAATTTTGAAATGGTACATATACAGGGTTATTCAAAAAGAATGAACCGACTTCATTACGCAATATTTTATTAAGGAAAAGTAATACAAAACTCCAGCCAAGTCACAAGTATTCTACTCACAGTCAACTTTTATTTCCTGTCTTACAAGTGTTCAATGTGGGCACCACCTGCAGCACGGGCAACACCAATGCGATAAAAGAATTCTTCCAAGGTGCGTATTAGCATATCACGATCCACTGAGTTGATCGCTGTTGTTGTAGCCACATTGAACACAGTTCATTCTTTTTGAATAACACTATATTATATTTTGAAATGGTTTATGCTGAAATAAAACTGCTCAACAAAGGGAGACACTTCTTATGGAAACACTGATAAAATGGAAAGATCTCTATACTGTACAGAAGGACAAAAATGAAAATGGTCGCCATGACATATAATTCTGACTTCACTGCAGCTGTAGATGTTTACAACTTTAAATGAAAGTGGTACTATAACTGAAAAATGTTAGTTCTGTTCTCCATACAGTGAGAACGGGTTGAGCAGCTGGCTGAGAATTATACTGTAATGTAATAAATCTGTTCAGCAAGTTGGAAAATGCATCCTGGCACTGTTATATTCCCATTTTTATATCAGCAGATTTACTGTATCAAATGCAGATTTTACCAGTCTGATACATATTACTCTTAATTGCATGAAGAGAAGCAACCCCACAGGACATGTAACTTGCCTGCTTTTTTTGCCAAAATGATTAAAAAAAAAAAAAAAATTCACAACAAATTTGAAGCAATGAAAATCACCATGTTTAATGTTTTCACCAATTCTGATTATTTTATTTTCCTTAACACCCCCATATCCGTTACATTAGTACAACAATAAGGCTCAATTCACATCAAACTAAATAAACTACACACTGAGTCAAAAGTGACAAGAGAGAAATGCAGACAGTCACAAAATGCAACCAAGTAATTTTCCCCACAGTACCCAACTTTTCTCTAGGAGGAAATTAAATTATGTGCGTTATATGTTTGATGTCGAAGAAGAGTTTCATCATATAGAGTGGATCAGGTCGTTTTTCCTCCCTTGCAACAGAATGAGGCTCCTTACTCCAGAGGGACTGTAACAGTCTTTTAGCTGGAAGACACAGAGGGACATGGACACCATCTGGACACTGTTTCCCAATTGGATGGTCAACAAAGTGTCGTTTCCGGGCTGCTCTCCACTGATTGGATGAATGAAAGGGAAAAGAGGGAGGGTGTAGAGAGCAGGGCTACCAGAAGTTGGCTGAGGAAACGGAGAGAGGTCCATTAAGTTAAAGTGAATATATCGCTGATCTTCACTGGAGAGCAGATGAGGAGCAAAAGTAGAGCTGGATGGAGATAGCAAGCAGGAATTTATTCTCTAGCTCTTGCACCCTTATTAGGTAAGGACCAACAGCCATAACTCAAGATGACACTGACAATTAAATGAGAAATATGAAACAGTCTTGCAATCTGTCCCATCTCAAATGATTATTTAACACTTCTACAACTAATGAAAGACAGGTTACACAACTCAATGAGGCATATCCACGAAATGTAGGCCCTGTTAACACTTGAGTGGTCTGATTACAGGTCCACAGGTGTGAAAGCATCCAAAACAGATGCTTCAGAATCCTTGTAACACGAGTGTCACATTGTGGAGCTTTAGAGTCAGAGAAGCTTGTCCACATAGAATCAACACATCCCTGAGCACACTGAAGGCTTGCAGGGGTGAGCGGTATAACAACATTTTGACAGCGACCCCTGTAACCCCTTCTGAAAGAAGTTTCCATTGCACCCAGGTGGTGTCCACTGCTATTGTACACAGCAAGACAGACAAGTCAGCAGGATAATGAGGAATGCAGCTATAGCGTCTTTCAAATGTTTACTGAAAAATCTATGCAGCAGTTCTACAATGTTTCAGTTCCAGCTGTGGCTGCACAAGCACTACAAGAACACAAAACTGGTTTTAATGTGTCAAATGTGTTTCTGTTCAGGACTGTGGCGTTTAAGTATTAAGGTCTGTTCACTTTGGCTGGAGTGTCTGGACAGATGTGGCTGCTATTTAATGGTTTCAGAAAATCCAAACTTTTCTGGAATCACTGTGTTGATGGATGGGCCTTAAAATGCTGGCACTGCATGACTGGCAATTGAAAAACAATAGGGGTGCAAACTGCATAAACAAATTGGACACATGAAATTTGGAGGTCACAAAATAAACCGTTTTAACTGTTTAGTCATTCCGCATCTTTAGTCAACAATTTTCATAATCATTCTGTGTCATCTCAAGCCACGTTTAAAGCAAGAACGCTCCGCATTCCCTTGTTCCAGCTTCTTAGTTGTTAACACTGGTTGCTTTTTGTGTTAAGTGGTAGTAAAATGAATATCTTTGATTGGATAAGAGTGCTGATTTGAAGAAGTAACCTTGGGCATAAGCATATAGTGAAAGGCATTCTTTACTGTGAAAATAACTGATCTGTTGTAGTGACATTTGCTCTTAATGCAATAAAACTTTTCCTTACTGAGAATAGCAGACCCAAGGCTTCACCTGTTTTCCATTAATGCTCCAGTCATAATCTTTACAGCCTGGATCTACAATATGTAGCAAGCATCACGTTGTGCTATGGGAAGTGAAGGCTCTTTTGTTTTCAGAACCTGACCCACATTTGGGACTATATTGACAAATGCAATTTTTTTTTTTTTTATCAGCCACTCCTTTCGACAGATAAATGTGTTGGGAAATACATCTCACTTGGTCACTAGAGCTCAAAGTGCCCTTGAATGTGTATTAACCTGTGATGTCCGCTTTAACTATGTCTAGTGGTAAGGTAGGAAAACTACATTTAAAAGCAGTTAAGTTTTTTCTCTAATGATGGTTGTTTGTTACCGATGACAGTTCATAGTTAAGTCCCCTTTTCATGTATGTATAACTACATTACAGGAATAAATATGCAGATTATAGGGCAGTTGTTGAAAGGCTTTCTATATATTGTATTGCATAATGTCCCTTCATAAATTTGCTTCAGTGGTTCTTACCTGACAGGGGTTCAGTAGTTGATCATTCTCTTGATTGCATCAAAGCACTTCCACTTATCTGGGATGTAGAAGGGTTCAAATATGTGAGGGAAGGGGGTGTCGTAACCACAGACCCTACTGATGGGAGCCTCCAGGTTAAGAAAGCACTCCTCCTGCAAATAAAGAAAAAAAAAAGATAAGGTCAAATACTCTTATTACTAGTCTAATGTTAGTGCTCAAACATCACTTTCAGGGAGGAACACCACGCTAACATGTTCAGACTTGGACTCTTCACTGTTTGACGCTTTAGTTAACACATCTGGCTGAGTGACAGCAGGGGACTGATATGGGCTGGTGCATGTCCCAAGTATGTTCAGTCAAGACATGGGTTGAATCTTTAAGGGTAGGTGACCGGATGTGGCATAATCCTGAAACGTTTTAATACAATTAAATGATTTTTTTTTTTAAGTGGCCCCATTTTCACTGTATGGTTGCACCAAGCAGGCAAACTGCTGCCTTTCTGCAAAGACAATGAGGGCCTAGACAAATGGACTGTTGTTCAATAGGCACACGCCTATGTCAAAATGCTGAGTAATGAAACTGAGTGAACAGAAAAATAGAAACAGCTGTACACTACAATCAGTCTTCAGACAAAAAACTCTTTACTTAAGATCCAGCTTTTTTAAGGAGCTCAATACTGAGAAAGACTCTTGAGATGTGGTTTCTAAGGCTAAGAATGAACTTTAACATGTTATAGATGTATTCCATTAACTGAGTAATGGTAAAGGGGGATTGTTTTGGATATGATGAGAGGAATGGTGACAATGGAAATGTTGACTGACACAGGGACAACACAAAAAATTAGGAGAAAAAGAAACTTTTGTAAAAATATTACACTTATTGCTACTGTGCTAATTTGAATGCATATGAAACTACACACTTGCATGCTCTGCTGTGATAAATTGAACGGGTTCCACATTTTTCACCCTTCCCACTTTATCCAAACTATTAAGCACAGACACGTCCTTGGCTCAGGAGTCTGGTCTGGGGGATATGTCCCAAACTAATATCAAGCTTCTTCTGGGAAACCCAAAAACAACCCTCTCCAGCCTCTTTCAATCTCAGTCCCATTTCTGAAGACACCTAGTTGACTGCATTTCTCAGCACAGTGAACATTTGATATTTATGGGAACATAAAGTTTAGAATAGCTATTTTAGAAGTGGTCAAATAACAAGGCTATTTTTATTATCATAACCTGACATATGCTACAAAAGGGTTTATTCAAGCTTCTCAGTGAAGACCAGTGCTCAGGCAATTTGTCATAAATGCAAAACAAGCCATGACTCATGTCTCTATAATGACTTCTGACCTCTTCCCATGGAGACAAAGCAGAACAAAGTTGGCCAAAACACTCCAAATTGGACAACCCCCCCGATGAGTTAAATGAACACACTTGGATGCGGGCACACAGATTTGCAGAAACAAAACTTACATTGACGTGCAAACAACTCAGGCAACCTCTGTCTGCATTACCTGACCTGTTTTTGACAGAAGACAAACGCAGCATCCATGTAATTCCACTTTACAAACCCACCAATTGGCTGCCATGAAGCAGTTTGGCATTTGACAGGACAGGACTTGTATGTTTCACACAGTGTTTTTCATTTCTTATAAAACATCTGGCAAAATCCAAGGGAATGTCTGGCTTGATGAGGAGGCCTTTTATGCTGTGGTACTTTTACAGCTTATAAAAATACAACACAAGAGAAATGGGGAGAGACTGCAGCAGAAGCTTGCTGTGGAGCTGACATGGTACTCAGGGACTTTTCCAGTCTGGATATCAGGTCCTGAGTCGTATAACTAACCTCAAATGATTGCCAAGTAGACAAACACAGAATGATCAAGACTGGATGGACATAGCAATTAGTGTAACAGCTAAGTATGACAAATATTAAACTCAGAACTTACCTTAGCTTTGGAAGTTAGGAATACCAGGATAGTAATAGATGAAGATCACAGGGCAGAATGGGATGCTATGGAGCTGATGGCATGAGTTTTAATGAGATGACAAACTTTGATACTAAGCAAACCATCTCCTTTTGCACCAACTATGAATCATCAATAGATGTTACCCAATGTACCATACAAAAAAGTCAGACACAGCTTTCCAACAGTATTCCTGTGTTTATTTTTCTACTCTCTCTCTCTCTCTAAGCTGCATTTCCACCAAAAAGTCCCCGGTACTGAAGCCCAAGAACTGTCCCTGGGGTAAAAGTCCTCTGAGCACATTGCAACGTGCATTTCTACGGCAGGGCCAAAGCCTGGGGAAGATTAAACAAATTAGCCTGATGATGAAAGAACACAATGGTCAGCAGCAGGGTTGAAAGAACGCCACAAGTTAACAGATACCAGCGGTCGAGGACAAACTGAAGGCGAAGCTGAAATGACCGCTTTTCTGCAAGTTTATGCTAATTTAGCTTTTTTTTTTACTTGCTGAGGCTTTATTGCACATACAGTAACGAACATAGGGATTGCTAATTCTGAGTAATGTTTCGCTTCAGCCGATGGCACGCTCTCCTCCGTGGCCTCTGCTTGCTGCGCTGTGTGTGGAGGAGCTGAGCTCCATCCTCAGGTCAAACACCAGGAGAAGACGCTCCAAAACACCAACACTTTATTTTCCAATCCACAAATCTCACTCACTGGTCTCTTTGTGTAGGCCTACTGTATATAATGATTCTTACAAGCTGAGAACTCACAATACTCAGAGTCCGTTGCATCCAAATCAGTTTTTACATTCGCGCACACCGACTTTAACTCACACATGAGAGTGAAATGTTCACACCGTAAAGCCCTGTATTTGACCAGTCAGCGATGTTCAATGCTAAAAATTACTTCAAACTTGCCTTTTTGTGAAAGTAACAGCTACCCATCTAGTGTATTAAAATCATTCAAGTCAATCGGTAAAGCCAGTGAACTGAGGCCAGCACAGTGGTCATGAGCTATGCCATTTTTTTATCCCAGTAAGAATGAAACCCAAAAACCAGGGGGGCTTCAGCTGATTTGCTGTGCAGGGCTCTGTACTGCTGGCACTGGCCTGGCATCCGGACCCTTGGCACTGGCAGTCTGCTCCACTCAGCTGATTTGCTGTGATTAGTTTTAATGAATGGAGACAACTAGTTCAACAAACCCTCCTTTCCTCTTCACTGCTCTGCTTCCTCCTTCCTTGTAGACTTTAGAACAACCTGAGAAAGATTCTCTCCAACAGGCTGTGACTGATCCTGACAACAGCCACTGTATTACCTAGGCCCATGGCCTTAACGGCCACTGAAGTGCGTTTAAACCTTGCTGTGTATTTATAAAAAACTGTAAATAGCGAGAGAGCAAGAAGTTCTGGATTCTTAAAAGCTTATTCATTGAAAATATAAGCCTTTCATAGAGGAGTGCTGTTATAGCATGCTGCAGACTGTAGGTATGTTATGTTTCTGCACAAATTGCCTCCAACAAGAACAATATTATATGTTTCCTTGTGTCATGATCTCTTCAGAAGAGGATATTAAATGATAGGGCTTATTTTGTACTCATAAACTTACGGTAAGAGCTCAATCTTTGTAAAGGTAATTAAAGAATCATTAATGCATGCCATAACTGGCACCTAGCTCACACTTTTTGGCCGACGTTCATAGGCAACGTACACACTTGGGAATGTCAAAGTTAAACAGGAGCACACTTGAATAGAGTGGGCTTGGAGCAAAGTTGGATGTGGATGTCATAATGTTCAAACTGACAGGCAGGTGGGAAGCCAACATTACAGTACAGAGGATTTTGTACTGTCTGGCCTACACATTCACAGTATTAACACAAAAGGTCTTCTGTGTAGGCTTAACTCAAAAGCCAGTTTTTAAATATACTTCTAACAGTATGATGTGTAGTAAATGAGATTTTGCCCAAGGTGTTTTAAGTGGTGACTGTTTCTTGCTTTCTTTTCATCCCAATGCATTGATGACAATGACAATGTGATCCATTAAGACCGCAAACTCAAGATCTATTCTCTGCCCGACTACAGACGACCAGTCAGACAGTACCAGGGAGTTTGCTCTTTTGTCTAGATCACATCTGTAATCTCCTCTAAATACATTTGCTGGAAGTGGGAGAAAAATACAGTAGTCAGACTGTCTGCCACCACAGCTGGACAGAGGATGGCCACACAGTTCAGACTTCATTCAAATCAGTGTTTATCTTTTGGGAAGTGCATTATTATATGTAATATACTTAAATCTCAGAATAAAAATATGTCGGCATGGCAGTACCAAAGAGCTTGCATTTTGCAGTGGTGTGGAATTTTAAAATACTTCACAGTGGGGGCTTTGAGTTGCACTGATGATACTACATCTCTTGTCATACCAAAATCAGACATTGTCAAAACAGCCGCAAATTTGAGGTTGTAGTCACACAAGGGTAGGAAAGTGCCAATATGACATAGTATTTATCAGCTAAGAAAGACAATGCCAAACCAAAGGAGTTTGAGTTCAACTGCAAACAAGCTGAGACTGGTCTGAAAATTTTCAACACATTTCTAAAGATCTCTCAGTGCTGTTCAGGTTAAAGAGCATTCATCAGTTATTGCCTGTGATATGTAGTCTAGGGAAAATGCCAATTTAACCTTTTTTAAAATTATCATACAACCTATAGCAACATGCTAAATGATAAGATGGTATTATGCAAATGTATGCATTGTTAATGTATGCAGTACTGAGCAAATTTCTGCTTGACGCCAAAATACTCTCGGACAAGCCACATAAATGTGAGATTTGTGTTTTACTGGAGGTGTTTTTCAAACATTGTGCTGTACTTTTTCAAGAGAAAACGCTAATTAATAGTAATAAATAATAATGCCTTCATCCGGAAGGATGTGCACATTGTTTTGCATTGTTTGTGTTTTCTGTATGACTGTCATGTCTTGAAACAGGAAAACTAAAATGTTGTCACACAACAGCTCTAAAAGTCAGCAATGCTGCATCAGCAATGTGTGGTGGAATTTCTAAAGTGAGCCTGGAGAAATAAAGAATGAACAATCAACTTGTATTTGTGTGTTTTATTTCTTGCAAGAAGATCAGTCAGTCATACAGAATGTCATGCAGTCTGCAAAGTTAGTGACAAACAGCAGTTTGTGTG